GCGTTAAGATGAACAGATGCTTTTCACTGCAATGAGATGAGTCTATAAATGTCGTTGATTTAGCCAATTTGCATGCTTATGTTCGATACGAGTTGTCCCATGAGGGCTTTCTCATGTAGCCGCTACCAACAGGAGCTACAGGAGAGCACATAATTCAGCTTCTGAATTAATTTATTGAAGAGTGGCATCGACTGGATAAAATGCATCGGCGTTTGTATAGACGGTGCTAGAGCGATGACAAGCCGACACAGCTGTGGAGTTGCACGAATTAAGAGAGGTCGCTCTAGATATGAAGTGGACGCACTGCAGCATCCACTGTGAGGCCTTGGCCGTCAAGAAAGTGCCTGAAGATTTAAAATCTGTTAGACTCTGTTGTAAATTGCATCAAGGCTCGAAAAATGAATTTACATCTGCTTTGCTCGATTAAACAGGCTTACCTCTCTCATTGAAATGGTGCTTTTTTGTTGTTTATTTTTATTTGTTGTTGTTCCTGTTTTTTTTCTGTAAAGCACTATGAGAAGCCACCTTTAAAGGCGCTATATCAAATAAAGTTTATTATTATAACATTATACGTGTGTGTGTGTGAGTGCACGCACGCGCACTCATGTTGGTCATTGAGTTTTTCTGGGGTTCCTATGAAAAGATGACTAGTAGGTGGTACTTGGATGCTTTGGTTTGATCAGGGGTGGTACTTGGTCCAAAAAGTTTGAGAACTACTGAGCTAGGGCATCAGGATCTGGACCCATCCAAACACCAGTCAGCTCTGGTGCCAGCACCCCCTCCAGCACAGCAATTCATGGGCACAGACCCCCCCTCCTGAAGAAGGGGTGCTTGTTTAGTTGTCTTGTCCCTTTGCCTTGAGGATATTTCCTTTGTTCTCTCATTACCCAAAAGTCACGGATGTGTGAAAAGTAGGGCACAGGTCGGGGCTCTTTGTCCCCCTTCTGCTAATCAAAAGCGACAGACACCGGCCTGGTTCTCTACTAATTTGTCCCCCTTCAAAATGCCACTCGGAGCACTAATTGCAGTGAAACACACAGGGCTACAAGCGAACAGACACATCGAGTTATTAACGCTGGAAGAGGCCAACACTGGTAATTGCGGAACATCCTTGAGCACATAATTCGGGCATGTTTAGCTATTCAAGAATAGCGCCAGGCTGACAGGGGTCAGGGGGTTGAGACCGCGAAAAACAAGAGGCCAAAGATGGGCATCACAAAAAATGAAAACGCAAGGAAAGCAAACTGCCTTTCACAGTCAACAGCTTTGTCTTTACCCTGTTAGATGATTTAAAGTCAAGATAATTCTTTATTATTATTTAGGCATAATTGTCCAATTACATTGTCAAAAAGATTGCAATTAAATTATTTAAAGAGCTTGGTCTGAAATTCAGCTCACTGGGGTGGGAGGTGAGGCAAGGCAGAGCAAAACAGCCCACTGACATGCTTGCGTTCATTATGAGTTAATTCATCACAAAGATTACGTCTTCAGATAAACCTTCTTCTGCCCTTTGCTATAATGAAGTGCAGCAGCCTGCTATTATCTTCTCACTGGAAGACAATAGAGGTATGGACTTTCTCTAAGTATTATTGAAATTAAGCTTTCTATTAAAAGATTTGTTTTGTAGGTGTTTTCCGAAACCCCCTTTAAAGTATTGTGGCGCAAAAGTAGGTTTCTGCAGACTTCGGAGTGAGTTATTGTATCCATGACTGCTATGTTTTTCTGAAGTGAGAATATCAGCATCAAGAACAATGTTCTTAGTCACATACAGTTCTCATTTTTTATACCCATGCAACCTCTACTGTAGAAGTCTTGTAGTTCCTGATATCTGGAAGCATTTATTCCTAAGTGATGTTTAGGGGCCAATAGAAAGCTTGTGCATATACAGATGTAGCCCAAATAAGGTGTGTAATTCCATAATTCATAAAATTCATTTTATTACTTCTTTTTCTTGTGAAGCAGTGTGGAGAAATGGTTAGGACTCTCCACTTGTAAATGGAAGGTTGTGGGCTCAATCCTACTGCTGTTGCACCCTTGAAAAATGAATTACACTGAGAACTCCCCTAAAACAGCATTCACTGAATTAGGAATATTTTGAATGATACCCATTCTGTTATTTAACTAAAAAATCATCTTTAATCTTTATCTTGATAGGTAGTTACGGCAATTAAGATACAAGTTTGCATTTCATATAGCTGAAGCAGTAATGTTTAATCTTGTTCAGAAGTATAAGACTGTAACAATTTACCTGTCCTAAACAGTCTCCTTAGTGACAATGCAAGTTTACAAAGTGCTTCCAGCTTTCTTTAGGGGTTGTACGATATGATCTTCCATAAACAAATGTTTATAATGACATTGTCCTTGCTAAACAGATCTTAAAATTAGTGTAATCTTTTGAAATGTTTAACAGAGTATATGTTCGAGAGCCTGATTGGTCATGTTCATGTTAATAAAATAAATTTGCATATTTTAAACTGAATGTTTTGAACGTGTGATTTAGTCTTAGTTTAGTTTAATCCATTTAATTTTATGTTGTTCCTGATTTATTGAGGCCATCCAGTTAGTGTATCTTGAAATCTAGCTGTTTGTACCTTCTAATCTCATATGCTCTAGAAATTCTGAATTCAGTGAAACAACTTTGGCACGCTGTCCTTAGCATCCCAGGCTTCAGTGTACAGTAAACTAATAACCTCATCAGAAACCCATGGCGGGCACAAGGTGGCACCTGCAAAAACCTCAATAGAGTACATCTCAATGTGTTAAAATTGTGGGGGGTGCAATTTTGATTAACTGTTGTGTAGCAAGTGCCATTTTACTTGGTTATGCTTATTTTCAGAGGAGCTCGCTGAGTATTAATTTTTTATTTTTTCTTCCAGTGCTCTCAACAGACATAACCAGTGAGAAGGAAACTTTAAAATCTGCCCCCACCCCTTCCCCCACCCCATCCCTTTTCCTCCAACTCTCACACACCCTGAATCAGGAGGAGACTGCCTACAAAAACCTCGCAGCAACAGGGTCCTGGACTCCAGATAGACACAAGCGCGATGTCGAGGCTGCCAGGATACATCACGGTGTTGGGAGCCTGTCTCTTCCTGGCCCTCCGGGCAGAAGGTAGGCCTGTCCAGAGCAAGCCTAGGCCTTCCGTCTTAAGGTTTCAGTTTGTGTGCCTGGCTTATATGCAACTTCTGGCTCTTTTGCTCTGTTGGTGTCTGTGGTACCCATTGGCTTTGATGCAATTTAATTGGTTTCTAAAATGTGGCCCTTGCTATTTAACATTATTTCAACAAAGGGGATAAAATCAATGCAACCTTTTCAGAATTTTTAGATGTTATTTAAAAATAATGCTTATGGTGTCCTGTAGAAACTTTGGAGACTGCAGATCAAAGTTCTTTAAACCTTGGTACAAGTTACTTACTATTGCATCTTTCTAGTTGATGAATTTTCACAAATAACTTGACTGAAAATGTCATAAAAGTATCATGCTTGTTTTCTGAGGTTTTGTTTGATGGTTAGGAGTGTTATTGTTCCAAGTTAAGATTTTTTAGTGGGCTGAAATAAAAGCTGGTGGCTGGAGTGTTTAGTCACCATTCAACTTTTCTAAACCCATATGTGCTTCGGTTTGAGTGAAGTCACTGTAAACATGAATACATATATAATCTGACATGAAAAAATGTTATTATATTTGGAATGGCAGATTTAAAATGCAGTTTTTTATTTTGCATAGTTGTTGGGATTAAGTTTACTTTTAAAGGAGGCAATACCATTTCTTAAAGGGTTTATGCAGAATTGTGGGAAAAGAATCACCAGTGCCAAGTTAGCAAGTATTAAGGCAAGATCTTAAACTTGGAAATTCTTTCAAGTTTGTGCATTATGCCATGAAGAAAACAGCTGGTTTTACCTGTGTACAAGTGTTTTATGTGGATATTATCAGAGCCTTTTAACTAGTTTGTTGGGCAAATGCATGTATACATTGTACTTTCCTTCCATACTGGTTTGATTCTTCTGTACATAATGACATGTTTGGGAATTAAGCACTTTTTAATCAGTTGATCATTGCTGAACCATCTTTAACTGCTATATTATTGCTTCCCTCTGCAAAACAAAAACATAGGCTGAGTACTGAAAACTTTAAATTCTTCTGTTGCCGCTTACGTAGCCACATAATTTTGTTATTGTTTTCAGCTCAGAATGCTTTTTATTTTGTGATGACTGTAAGCTAAAGGACAATGTAGCAATAGGAGACACTGTGCATGGAATTGTATAATCACCTTACTGTAAATATACCTAACTGTGGCTTTTTGATCACTTTTCTCATTCAGACTTTAATTTTAGAAAATTTATTGAAAGAGTCACAACAGAATGAAATAGACATGAGCAGGACCTCTCCCCAGAAAGTCTGTTCAGAAGGATCTATAATCCTTCTGCTTTCATGAAAGATCTATGGAAAATCATGCATTTTTATGTGCATGTGCTGTGCTTGTGCTTGTGACAGTTGGACCATTACAGTTTTCCACTTAGCCTCCAATTGATAGTAGGCAGTCTGCTAAGATAAACTGCTCTGACTATCAAGTCAAAAGGGGGACTTAGTTTCCAGCACCACCTTCAGACTTAAATTTCCTGTCCCTGTCACTTGGCACTGTCCCCAGATTCAGTGCAGAGTCAGTGCAGGGATTTGATTCATGTATGCCCTGTGACTTTTGGAGAGGGAACCTGTAATAAACCCTTAAATCACCGTGCAGAGCTGGGCTGTGGATTAGTTTTTCGGTGTACTGTATTCGACAGCACAAGAGCAATCAAGACCAGTGGCATTAGTTCAAGTAGGTAGCTGCGTCAGCACGCTTAGGCTGCAAAGGAGAAGAAAGAAAACAATGTTTAGGCTGTGGAGCCTTCTTCGGGCGTGAAGAAGGCTGCACAGCTGAAACGTTGTTTTCTTTCTTCTCTTTTCAGCATGGAATAAACCTTTACTTGTTCCTTTGAAGACCGGTGGCAACTGAGTTCTCCCTGTGCCATCACTAATAGGAAAGCAGAATATACATCCTAGGACTTTAGATTTGACATTTCAGTATAAGGGGTGAAAAAAAAACATGTATTTGGTTCACAAAACCAAGACATAGAACCCCTGATATTGTTTTCCAAACAATAATGGAAAATGCTTTGTACTTGATTTTATCCTTTTGGTAATGGCCACAGTTCGACTACAGGTCTGAATGGGGACATATATTTGTGATCTGAGAGCTTCATTCATGGACTCAGCTCCTGCTTCCTGACCACTACTTGACATCACCAATAGTCAACTTCATACTCCCACTTACTTTTATTTACAAGACCCCAAGGTACTTGGTATTCTCCTCTAGGGCAGCTCCCCTCTTCACCCAGGGAAAGCAATCTGTTTTTTCAGGAGTGAACATTAAACTCTGCTTGAGGTCCTTACAGCTCAGTGGAGGTACATCTTCTCATTCCAGCCACTTCATAACAAAATGTTGGAGAGCACTTCAGAGATTAATCAGATGAAGCAAGAAATACAACATTTGTAAACATCAGAGATGCAACCTCTAAGCCTCCAAATCCATTCTACACCAGCATTTTTTTTTTAACTGTAGTGACCAAAGTTGTATACACCTTTCTAAATCTGTATTTTATTAGACTGGTAAAACTGGTATTTTACATTTCTTGGTACTATTTACTAGTACTAGATTAACATTTCTTTTTTTTTAATTATATGATTTTAACTATATTTCCTTACATTGTTTGCTATTATTTGTACTTCCACACGTTTCCCAGAAGATATAAATGTTATCTACCAGGCATTTGGCCAGTCCTGAATTTTAACTATTTTCATTTGCTGCTTCTTCAGTTTTTGTTAATCGTCCTAATATTTTGTTCTGTTCTATGACTAATATGCTAACTATTTCAGAATCTAGATCATCAATATAAATTAGGTAGAGCAGAGGTCCTGTTATAGATCTCTATGGTACTACATGGCATCACCAAAAATGTTCAGTTTGGAAGGCCTCCTCTCCTGCTCAGTGCCTTTGCCGACAAGACTGATGATCGCAGTTCTCCGTTAGATGGCACAAACCCTCTCTTTTCCTTTAAGAGGAGGACTTTCACCTTTCTTGCAATTAAGAGAATAAAGCTGCGGCACCCCAGCATTGTACAGTGCTTTCAACATATCTGAGCGATTTATAAATCATTAGAAGGCACTTTACCACCACAGTGTACAAGTTTGCCGACGAGATTCGGCACAATATACGAGCAAGTACAGGTTGTGCAGCAGGCATTTTACCCTTTAAGTGTTCGATCATCATTTGTATGCAGAGTTAACAAGTAGTGCGTGCAAAACTGTCTTGAAGTCAGTATGTTGAATGCTTTTATGCTATCCTTTTAATCATAATTATGTTTCAGAACTAAGATGTGCATTAAATATGGTTTTATGACTAAGAGCAAAATTTGTCGGATTAAAATAGATGTATTCACGAGCATGCCTGTTTACAATGTAATAAGGCCGCTTCATGTCACCAGAAGTTTTGTTGTCTTGTTCTGAATCGCAGACGGTGACAGCAATACGGCGCTACACATAACTGGAAAAATCTCTTTTGTGGTGTAAACTGCAGGTTTTAAATGTTACCGTGTACATTTTCCTTTCAATTTGATTTTAAACACTCATCAATGCCTGTTCTTTATAATGCTGAAATAGCATGTAAAAATAGCATTGCAGTTCTCTTTTAAGAGAGGTCAGACAAAAGCACCAGTCAAGCTTTTGTCTTCAGAATGTGGATGATGGCAGTATTATCAAGCAGCAGGATGTCTTTCATTTGCGAGTGTAGATGCCTGGGTCGTGTCAGTAACTTGAGTGTGACCAGGATTCACCATGTATCACAAGTACACAGTTGACTTAGTGCCACAGAGGGTAGAGGAGGATTAGTCAGCCAGGGCTCCCAGCTCTTAGTGCCCCCTGTGTCATCCCTTTGTGGTTGCAGGTTTGCAGCACAGTTTGCTTGCACTTTCTCATTCTCCTATTTGTGGTTGCAGGGTTTGTTACCATGTGTGAAAATGTGAAACATACAATTGGCAATTTCACATCGTGTGCAGAACATTGATTTTTTAATTTGTTTTAAAAGGATGTTGGTACTGATTGTCTGCTGTTAACCAAGTTCTTGCCATACATTTTGGTTCACAGGTTTAATTGTTAGTGTGTACTGATAAGGCTAGCAAAAACACTCATACAAAAGCAGGAGCTTAAACTAGTCCTTTAAGATGTCATTGCATCCACAACTTTATTATTTTGGGATCAGGGTTGAATAGTAGTTTTGGCCATGTGTCCATTTCTGTGTCCTTGATCTCCACCACGACACTGCCCTGATTGGTCCAGTCCATTCAGCTGTATGTATGTCATGGTGTTATTCAGGATGGATTCCAAATAATGTAACGGCTTCCCATCAAGGGGAGATCCTATAGTCTGTTGACTTATGCAACAGAAACAAGGAAGAGGATGAACTTTGAGCCACTTAATCTCAAAGGGACATTTATTTGCATAGCTGATGTATGTAGCTTTGTCTTTGTAAAACTTCACACGGAATTTGTAACACTGGGAAAGTGTTCCATTTTAGCAGTTTTAGTTTATGCTGATTTTCTGTAAAACGTTTTTCTTAATGTCTCTTGATAGCTGCAAAATATTTTGTATATTGTCGAGCACTTCCGAGTCGCAAGTACTTTGTTTTCGTTCTTCAATGCTGTGCTTGGCAGTGTTGTATCAATTGATCTAGGAGTACTCTTTGAACTCAAGATTCATATCCGGACATGAATAGCTGAAGAAAGTCACACTGTAAAGTTCTAACAAGTAGAATCACGGCCAGTTCTTGCCTGTTTCATGTTAGCAGGAACTGTAGTGCCCGTTTACAAACCCACAGCCATTAAATGAAGTACGCCATTCCTCTGTCTGTAAGGTTTGTAAATGTCAAGCTGTGAGAGGTTAGTGCAGTTTTAACCAAATACAGCATGGTAAGACTAGAGCTTATCTGCTTAGTATGCTCTTTAACACAAATATTGATTATAGGCGATGAAGCATAATGGAAAACAGTTTCTTATTATGAAACATTACTGATAAGGAC